ACCCCAGTTCTGTTTATATAAATAAATAAATCTTAAAAAAAAATAAAAAGAACACTATTCACTAAGGGACTAAGAGTAACACTATGCCTTTTATCCGTAAGTCAGTCTATTACAAATACCTAAACTACTGCATCCTGTAAATGCAGATCTTGTATTTTATGAGAATGCTCTTTTAATATTCTACAAAGAATACCATGCCTTTGATTTTAGGTTGTTTTCCAACAAAACATTCATTGTAATCCAATCTGTCTATCCCAATCACAAATGGGAGCAGGAAATCTATTTTAGTCTGAACCAATTCTTGCCTCTTCTCCCAGTCTATGGCAAATTAGATATCCATCATTTTCATCTGAATCCCACCATCATGTAACAAATGAGACAGGTTTATTTATAGAATTAAAAACCCAGTACTCACTGTCTGAGAAAAACTGTGTTTGTAATGCAAGTTGTTCTCAAAAACCCTACTTAGGTCCCTTCAGGCTCTACAAGAAAACACCATAGATGGGGTGGTTCATAAGCAACAGGAATTCATTTCTCACTGTGCAGGAGACTGGGAAGTCCAAGATGAAGGTGCCAAGAGATTTGGCAACTGATGACAGCACATTCTTCATATTGATAGCCCCCTCAAGTGGGGCAGAGCTCACTGGGGCCTTCTAAATGAGGGTACTAATTACAAAAGGTACTAATCACAGACCTCATTACCTAATCACCAATAGCCACACTTTGGGGGTTAAGGGTTGCAACTTATTTTTGCAATTTTGCGGAGACATGAATTTTCAGTCCTTTGAACACTCTTTTAAAATACATTTAATGGTATTAGTGTTATTGTTATAAGGTACATTACAGGATCATCTTTCAGTAATGAACCTCTCCTAACAGCCAAATCTTACCTGATACCCCAATGATCCCTGGAAGTCTCTCACTCTTCTCTGCATCCCTCTAACCATCAAGAATACATCCTCAGTCATTCTATTCTCTCTCCATCCCACACTCTCTGGCTCTCTGGAGTTCCTCACCCACATCACCTGACTTTCCCTCAGACACACATGACACACTACAGTACCTTCAAGGTTTAGGGGCACCAGGTCATGTGGCTGAATGAGTCATGCAAGACCATTTTCAGTCTCCTTGAGGGTGACAGTTTTCATATTGTGGAGCTATGAGACCCAACCTGAAGGGAAAGGGCTTCTCATTTCACATACAGTCTCTTTAAGAGGTACCAGATCTACTCTGGCAGTCCATCTACAAAAGTTCAGTGGAAAGAGAGCAATGTCTCTATAGAATCTTCTCTTTTAGATATTCTGAAATACTGTGGCTTTTAGAACATAGTGATAATAGTCCAAGGTATTCTTTTGACTCAAGTCATATGTGGAAAATATAAAAAACAAAAATTGGCTGGGATATTAGTGTGGCGGTAGGTCGTTATTTTTAGATGGCTTATTTCTACCTGCAAAAAAAAAAAAATGACATTTAAACTCTTTCAAAGTTCCACGAGATTTTAATTTGTAAAGAAAAAGTAAGATTAGATTATGAAGTCCATCAGCTTTACTGTATAGAGGAGAAAATAAAGCAGAGAGAAATGAGGTGGCTGCCCAACTTTGACCCAGAAGTTTGGCTAGAACTTGATCACTGATTCTCAGTCAACACTTTTTGCATCTCTCCCTTTAACTCACAAAAAGAAAGAAAATGCATTACAACTACCTTTATAACAAACTTAAAGAAACTTATTCCCAAACAGAAATTCAGCAGAACTTACGGTTACCATAGTAATACACAGTTTTGAAAAAAGTGAATTTGTAAGAAGCATTTATTATAGAGTCTGAGAATGAGTTACTGAGTCCAAATAAGCATTAAATCAAGGAATTCTTCAAACAGATGATAATGCTACATTATTAAATAATATCCTTCCTTGTCATCAAGCTAGCAACATAATACAATGAAATACACTGTAATTTTCATTCTAAAAGAAATGACCTGTTTTTTATAAAACAAGAGATATTTTGTGCTGTCAAGCAAGTTATACCCACAGCAGTCCTTTGTGTTTCTATCCAGAGCTAGGTATAGAAAAAAGGGTATGCTAAAACACCAACCTAAAAAATAAATAAATAAAAACACCAACCTTTGAGCTATTCACAGACGTTGCCAAAAGTTACTGAATTTAAGTTGTCCCACTTCTGACCAACCGTTCTGGGCATCCACACTGTTATTCACATGCTACTAAAATATGGCACTATTCTGGCCACCAATTTCTCCACTGCTAGCACCCAAACAGTGGGAGGCAAATGCAAATAGGAACAAAAGGAAAGATCAAAGCCCAATTCAGTCAATTCTTTGGTGTTTCTCTTTACTGAGAAAAATAGAGAGAGTGTATTCTCCTTAGGGACAGAAATAGAGACAGTATTCAAATTCACAATTTTAGTCACAATTAGTGCATAACAGACTCCAATCCAATGAAATAAAGATCTTAGGCAATCAGGTATTTCACGGATATGTTCTTAGTTTTGAAATCAATTACAATAAAAGCACCAAAGGAATAGAATCCTTACAGGAATTATTCCTATTCCAACAATATTTCATTTTACAAAGAGAAATACAACAGACTTCGCTAAATAATATGATACCTTATAGAATACTATGAAAGAAAAATATTTATGCAAAACATGCTAAAAGGGTAATAGAAGTGAGTCCTACTACAGTAACAATACCAACTGGCTCAATCATATTGATTCAGGCCCTTAACTGATGTTACCGAGATGAAGGCCACAGGTTGGCTGCCAGCATGTGTTATTTAGAAGAGGAGAAACATGTAGAACTTGTAATTCTGGATGCATCTGTGCCCTTGGATTTTCAGAGAATCAAGACAGTCTGAATGATTAAAGACTTGTCATTACTAGAGGAAGAAGCAAATACCTTTGCAAAAGTCAGTAGCATCCTGAATTATTATTACAAACACTAATCATAAACTTTCAAATTTTACACCGGCCACTGAATGATGTCTACTTAGGTCAACAGCCTGAAAGAAACTGTTCAACACTCTACAGCATTCGAAGGACATCTGCTGTGACTTATAGTTGAAAGCAGCAATAGACTGCATAAATGGTAGTAAAGTTATGAGGCAAAAGAAGGAAAAACATAGGGAAAAACAAAACTGAACTTCCAATTTTCAACTATTACACCACTTGCTATTTTTTAAGGAAGACAGTCTAACTATACAAAGCTACCTCCATTCCATAGGATTTTTTTTTTTTTCAAACAAATTAATACCTTTGGAATCAGCACTGAGAAAGAAGCATGCCAGGAAAATGCAATTTTCTACATATAGGTCGTCAGCTGACACACTTTTGTTTTCCAAAACAAGGGACTGCACCTTTCTTTCAAATGCAAACTTAACTATGAGCACAGCAACACGTTGGCCAGAATTGATCTGGTATCATTCTACAACTGTGTGGGGAGCTCCTACTGTGTGCCAACATAGAGCAACCTGCTGTTCCTGAGAGACTGTCTTGGAGAGATTGCAAGACTAGACATGAGGTCCTATTTTTTCTGCAAGTAAACATTTGCTCCAGAAGCAACTCTAAACCTACAAACACACCCACTTTTCACAGTAAGTCTCAGCACTGGAAAGGATCAGTGACTATCAGTGCTGGATTCCAATCCTTTTAAAATAGGGCTCTAAGTCTGCTCCTTTGTGCCCTTTAGTATCTGCATGTGAGCAGCTGATTCAGTTCTCAAGCCACATTGCCCATTGAAAAATACACCTTCCTTAAACAAAAAATACTTTTTGTTCCCGTGAAGCTTTGTCTGTGTCCATTTCCCGCAACAAAGGACAAAAGAGAAATTCTGCCATCCTCAATAGTGGTTTTAAGCAAATAGAAACAGCAAACAAAGTAACAGATCAAAAACTCAAGAAACAACTAAGGTGAACCGGGACAGGGGGAAAGAGGTGGCATGGTTGTGAGAAATGGAGCCTAAACTCTACTTTGTGATCTGATGGGGGAAAGGTAAGGATTCCAGTAGAGAAAGACGGGTTTGTGCTGCCGTCCTGGTTTTATCTCCCCAGCACCCAGAGAGTGCAAGGCAGGCACAATCGAGTTTAGTGACTAAGACTGATTCAAAAAGAGAAACACAAGTTTACTCAGGACCCAATGTTACAACCCAATCGGGGAATGATACAAACATTAATATTACAATTCATTTCAAAAGATGATGTACCGTTACAAAAGAAAAAAAAATGATTATTCATAGGAGACATCTATCTATTTAAAAAAACCACCATTTTGCAGTCTGTGCGCCCGTCCTGTCACATCCTCTTTTAAAAGAAACCGCTAATAGAAACTGGAGTGCTGGGAACCTACAAACTATTGTCACCTACTTCCCAGGACTGTGGGCCTGACACTCAGTATCACTGTTGGAAACCAAACAGCAGCCAGTCAAGGGGTCCCTGGCAAATTCTTCTGAAACACGGTCCCAACAACCCGTGTGTCCAGGAGAAAGGACCGAAGTGTGCGGGGTTCTTTCGCCCTCTCGGCCCCGCGTCCGGAACGTTCCTGCCTGTCAGGTGGGCGGAGGCGAGCCTTGGCGGGGAAGCTCCGCCAGGCAGCGGGGCGTGCCCGCAGCGTGGAGAAGGGCGAGCGCCGGGAGAGTGCGGCGCGTCCCGCGGCCGGCCGCCGCTCACCTTTGTTCGCCGGCCCCGGCCGCCAAGAGACACTCGGCCCAGGAGGAGTGCGGGCGACCCCAGGGCTCGGCGGCCCCTCCCGGGCACCCGGGAGGAAATCCGTCTGCAAGCCCGACCCGCTCTGGCTCCCGGAACGGCGAGCGGGTAGAGAGGTCAGCAACCCCTTCCCGAACACAAAGGTTGGGAGGCGTGAACGCGAGCGCTAGGGGCGCGGGTGCGTGCGCCACAGAGCACGCGAGTGTGCGTGTGCGCGCGACTGAGTGTGCGCGCGTGTGTGTGTGCGTGTGTGGGGAGGGGGAGGGGAGGGGTGCTCAGCCCTTCTTACCTCTCGAAGATGAGCCGCACCATAAAGATGCAGAAGGCCAGAGGGAAGGCGAGATAGAGGTCCTCAGCCTGCGGGAAGGTGGCTTCATCCGTGTTCTTCAGGTCCGCCCAGGTGACATTGTGCGGGAGCCAAAACCTCTCGTTCCAGAACCAGGCTAAGATCCCTGCCATCTTGCTTTGTCCACTCCTGTCCTGCTGCTCCCTTCGCCCTCCGCGCTCTCCGCCTCTCGGGGCGCCTGGGGATGCACGCTGGACCGAGCCTGTGCAGCCGCCGCCTCCTCCGTGGCCGCTGCTCTCGAAGGCTCGCGGCGAGCCCCGGTTCTCTCCTCCCTCTGGCCGCGTTAGGGAAAGGGGCCGCCTCGCCTGTCACATGGCAGCCCGGGCCTCTCGCTCTGATTGGCTCGTGCTCCCGTCAAGCAGCGAGGCACACGCGGCCAGCTCGCCCACGCCCGGAGGGCTGGGCGCAGCTGCTGCGCCCTGGGCGCAAGAACGCCGCTCGGGGAGTGCTGGTGGGCCAGCGCACACCTCTGGCTCGCGCTCCGCGCTCGGCGCTGAGCCCTGGAACCCGGGCCCCAAATCCGCCCCAGCCCTCCGGCTTGCTCGCACATGCTCAGAACGCTGGCTTCTGCCCCAGTAGAGTTTCTAGGGTCTCAGTCCGCTTTCCGTGCGTCTGCAAGCGCTGGGGAGGCAGGTAGAGGCCGGACCCGGGTTTCAGAACTCCCTCTGCACTGAGAGAGAACTGGGAAAAGAGAAGTAGGGGGCGCAAAGAGCAAAGCAGGAAGAAGTGAGAAGGCAAAAGTCATCCGCTCAGCTCTTGGAGAGGCAGGGCGAAAATCAGGAACTGAGTAGGATGGTTTGGCTATAGCCATCTGCCTTTACCTTAGGCTGTTCCTTCCCCAGTTTCTGACTTTAAGGTTTTGCCTAATATGCTACTGTTCATGACCACATCCAGCTCCCCTAAAGAACAAGGCCATCTATTTTGATGTATAAGGTGAGAGGAGAAATTGGCATTGAACTGCTATTTGATAATGATTGTAATGGTGATGCTAGCAACTGCAGCATTCAGTAAAAACCGCTCTTTAAACAAACCTCAAAAAAATGCCACCAGACAACATTTGGAATTCCAAGATCAGTCAGTGCTACTTGACAGATTCATTGTTTCTGCCTTTTGAATCTGAAACCCAGGTACCATCACTCCAACAATACATTTCTGGATTTGTAGGGTGGCATATGTGGATCAGTTTAGTGTCCTGTGCTGACCTGATTACTGGGGATATTTTGTTCATTTTTCTCACCGTCATTCATTTTCCACCCAGTTCTGAAGAAGGTTGTATTGGGCCTTCTCTAAGAGGTACATAAATATCCCTTTAACACAAACACTTCTTTACTCTCCCCTCCCCTCCAGCTACTGCCCTCTTTTCACTCCTTCCTTTAAAGTAAAATTGTAATTTGCAATTTCTCACCTCTCTATTCTCTTTTAGGCTTCTATGTGGGCCTTTATCCCATCCCCTGCTGCCCTGAACTATTCCAGATTATCAATTAGCTGCATGCTGCTAAACTTAAAGGTCAGTTCTCAACACCTTCATCAGTAGCATTTGGCCAAATTAGTCAGTCCTGGGTCTCTTGAAATGCTTTCTTGTCTTGGCTTCAAGAAAACACAATCTTCTAGTTTTCTTCCTGTTGAGTTTCCTTTCTGGCTACAATTAACTTTCTAACCCCTTAAAGTCAGAGAGAAATAGTGGTCAGTCCTCTTCACTTTTCTATTTATATTCATTCACAGAATGCCCTCATTTAAATTCCAACATATGTTTTCTACTGAATCAAGATAATTTTTTCACCATCACAAAGATGAAAAATTGTAAGTCAGCCTTCCCAAGTTAAAGACCATTAAGTATATATGTTTTACTTAACTCTTTATTGACCCCAGCCTTCTCTCCGCACACATTAAAACATAACTTTCAAAGGGTAGAGATCTTTGTGTCTCATTCTTAGATTCCTAACACTTGAGATAGTGTCCAGCATATAGTAGAAACTCAATAAACTACTGAGCAAATGAACCAAAATTACTTCAGCCTCACAAAAATCTTCTCTCAGACAGAAAAAAATCTTAACAAATAAATGTATTAAAACTTTAGATATTTGTGCGTGAGAATAGTGTGACACAACAAAGGGCTTGATTCATGCTGAGTTAGGGAAGAGGGAGGTCCTTGAAATGAGTCGTTATCAGTGAATAGGTGTCACCATTCTCTCTTGGTCCCATAAGACCATCTGCTCAGTCATCAGTGTAACAGTGATAACCCTCCACACTTTGAAACAACTCCTTTCTTATAGGCCACAGAGAAGACATTTGTTAGTCTCTTACTACTTTTATAGCAGGAGGTCATATTATGGTAGAGCCATCTGGGCCACACAGACCCCTCGGGGCTGTTCATGGTCCTACATGCTGTCACTACCTTGTATGATCTGATAGTACCTTATTTGCTACCCTGGGACTTCTCTCTGTCCAGCAGGTGCTGTTGTGTTCTTAAGTGTGCTCAACAGGAAGTGCTGGTAAGATAATGGACCATGGCAATGGAAGCTAATGGATACATTTTTATGGCATTCTCTTCCCCATCACTAGTAGTTTCAAATGGGCTCTCTAAAACAACCTGTGATACAAAGCAATCAACTTATTTCAGAGTTGCTGTCAGCTAGTAACTCCTCAAGCCCTTATATTCCCATTTCTGTCTTTTCTCCTTTTCCGCTTATTCTGTCTCCCTGAAATTACACTTCTCTGGACTTCATCATCTTTTTTTCTAAAGAAATCAAGCTAAAATAGTGTTACTCTACTATTCATCAACTTCAAGAAGGTGGTGGGAACTCAAGAACATTTTGATGGATAGGGTTTTGGTAGAGCATAAACAGAATGCATATTTTATCTGTAAACCGTGTACTAGTCATGTAGTTTCTAGAAGCAAGTGAATCCTCTCCTATATAACCTATGTATATATACTATACATAGTATATATACTATAGTAGATAGTATATATACTATAGTAAAAGTACTATATAGCAATAGTACTTTTATTGCCTATGTTGTGACTGTCATGACACTCATGTGCACTTTGACCTACATGTGCAGTGTAACAAATCTCTACTTTTTCATGGCTATCAGCCTCACATAAAAAATCTTCTCTCAAAGAGTATATAAGTAAACTTATATACTCATGTGTGAGAATAGTGTGGCATATAGGAGGGATTGATTCAGGCTGGGTTAGGGAAGAGGGAAGTCCTTGAAATGAGTCGTTATCAGTGAATAGGTGTCACCATCCTCTCGGGCCCATGAGACAATCTGCTCAGTCATCAGTGTTATGGTGATCACCCTACCTGCAACTCTCCATCCAAATGATCACCCAGAAATACAGTAAATATCAGTCAATATCTAACTGTAACAGGGTGGTCCCCTAGGTAAAGTGGAAGTTCCAGGTTCCCTGCCCCACCCAGAAGGAGGGTGGGGCTGAGCAGAGAAAAGAAGAGAAGAGAAGGAATCTGAGGAAGAAAGAAGCAGGATGGAAAACCAGAAAGAGACCTGCGGAAGCCACATGGATCAGAGAGCATGTGAAGAAACCATGTTTATTTCTTGGCCCTGGACTGGTTGAAAGAGATGTGGGTGTAGAGACCCGTAGGGAGGTTGACTATGGCAGTGTTTATGTTGATTTTGATTTTGCTCTTTTCCTCTCAGACTTGTCTGGCCATTTCTGACCCTTTTCTATGGGTCCCAGCAAGAAGGTGCTTTAGTATTATGGCGGGCTTTCAGGCCTTGCTGTGGGCCAATCCCTTTTGGATAGACTTTTCCCCACAAGGGGATGGGTAACTTCAGGTATTTGATTTAGAAAATAGATTCTTTGTCTTCTGTATTGTATACTCACTGTGTTAAATTTTCTTTTAATTAGAATCTTATATGTTTGGTCTCGATGCAGTGGATGGCAGAACATATTTAGAGCAGGCAGTTTTGTGTATTCAGTGGTGTCCTGCCCTGTAACATAACCACATTTATTGTTTTAGGGATGAACCCATGATCAAAGATAGCCCTTTCTCAGTATTGGGACATGGCAGTAATGCTCTATATATTTTTTTTAAAGATTTACTTATTTATGCATACAGAACTGAGGGGTACAGGACAGAGGTGCATGGGCGGCGAGAGGCTTCACCAGAGACAGAGCGGGGAGCAGAACAGGCAGATCTACGAAGTACACTGCTGAAGGGAGCAGCGGGCGGGTCAGGAGAGGTCTGCCACACCATGTGGTCTCCTCCGGGGCAGGTAGGAATCGAACTAATGCAGAAGTGGCGTTAGCTTCTCAGTGCTGTGCTTTAACTTACCGCTGCGCCACCAGGGAGGGCCTGGACTTTAGAATTTTAAAGTCAGAAGTTAGTGGTCCCCATTCATCATCATATGATTAGAAGAAATGTAAGCTACTGTCCAACAAGAGAATGGAAAGAAACAGAATTCTAGAATTAAGCAAAGGTAAGAAGAATATTTTTACTTGGAATCTGGGAAACAACTGTTTTTGCACCATTAGGTTCTATGAAACAGTCTTATATCTTCATGACTAATTCCTCTTTTTTTTTTTTTTTAACTGAGTAAAGTGGGTTTATATTGTTGTACCTGCTTTGAGGGAAATAAACTCATACCGCTACAAATACATGTTTCACCAAACCTGTTCACCAACAGTGGTGCCACCATAATCCTCCACCATGTCCCATTGTGTCTCCTCCCTTCCTCTATCCCACACCACCACCCTCCCCTTCTGGGTTTCTCAATTTGGCAATCAGATGTCAAGGGTTTATTATCAAACCCTTATAATCCAAAAATAAGGCATCACTCTAAGAGTATCTTTAAAACTACTAACCTAAGTTCAGGCCCCAGAAAAGCTAGGTCACAGAGGGACATAGCACAACATACCCCCAAGGCGGTCACTTTATCCTTATGCAGAAAAGACTTCTAATTGTTACCACAAGATACAAAAACACAATTCATTTTGTAGCTCAGTGGGAAAACAAACTGCTGGTCTGTTAATAGAAGAGGTAAGGACAGAGAAAGAGTGAAAACTAGATTTTGCTGAAGGTAAGTGTGTCATTGCTCATACTGCAAGTTAGGACAGCAGGCTTTGGGTCCAAAATATGAAATATCATATGAGAATATACCCTCTTTCCCCCAACCCCCTCCACCCAGGCAACTGGTAAAAAGCAACAAAGCTCAACATTATTCCTCACCCATAGACATTCATAAGTCTTAATACTTCTACA